TTTGAAAACTATTGTTTAATTGCTGAGAAGCAAGTACGTATTCAGACTTTGCTATCGTATCGAACAATCAAATAATGTTTATAGAAAAAGTATACATAGTTTTTTTCTTAAGTATATGACTAGTAAAGCCTTAGGAAAAATATCGAATCTCTGAGATTAGATAATTTTATAATATATATATACCCCCGGAAAAAATAAACGTTCCTCTGTATTTTGAGGATATTGTTATCATATGAACATATTTTATGAAAAGTAACGCCATATTCTGAAAGCCCGTGAAATTTTATACCCATGGGATAAAAAATTAGGATATTTTCACTGCGAAACGCGCTAATACTGACCAATTTAACGCGTTCGCAGCGTTTCCCATGTTGAGAAACGTATACAACCCTTTTTTCCACTTACTCAAAACGCGTTTTGAAGCCACAATTCTCGGATGAAAACGAAAAGTATATCGTCTCGCGGCGTTTTTAACCGATTTAGCAGTTGTGAAACGCGTTAAACCGGTCAGCATTAATGCGTTTCGCAGCATTTAAAAGTAACGAAATTTTTCCCATGGGTATCAGCCTGTATATTTGCATTTTCGTTTGAATATATAGGGTGTCCGGAAAGTCATTAGAGTTAGAAAAAATTGAATATCTCCGCTATGGTTCGAGTAAACGGGTTGATCTTTTTACCCATAATAGAGACATGTTCATACTTCAAATCTATACGGACGAGGTTAGCGAGAACCTTTGTTAAATGCCACCAATGATCTTAATAAAAAACATTTTACTTTTTTACAGATAGGAAAAAACAATAGACTTAACAAAGAGTCTTTCTAGGCATGTCTTTACGAATATAAAGCTTGAACATGCTTCTATCATTGATAAAAGAATCAGCTCGTTTGCTCGATCCGTAATGAAGATATTCAAATTTTTTTCGGCAAAGTGACTTTTGCGCCACTCTGTATATTGTTTTTTTCCTATGTGTGAAAAAGTAAAATGTTTTTTGTTAAGGTCATTGATGGTATTTAACAAAGGCTCTCGCTAACCTCGTCCGTATGAATTTGAAGTATGAACATGTCTCTATTATTGGTAAAAAGATCAGCCCATTTGCTCGAGCCGTAGCAGAAATATTCAATTTTTTCTAACTCTAGTGACTTTTCGGACACCCTATATATATTACCAAAAACATTGAGTGCAATGAAGGTACCCTCATGTATAGATTCCCACAGATTTGCTTTTGTCATTGTCATCAAAATTAGTTTTTAAAATTTTCTATCACTATAGAGTTATCTTTTGAAAAAAGTAATTATATATTCTGATAGAGCTTGAAATTCTCTATCACTCTGTATATTTACGTATTTCCTTATATTCATTTATTGGTAAGAAAATTTGAGTATAGTGGATACACCGTCAAATGACAAGTACCAAAAATCTGCATTATTCATTGCTTCTGGACTTCACCTTTGAAATGTATTATTCCTGTGTGAAAATTTATTTTTAAAAAGCAATCACAGATTCTCATAGAGCTTAAAATTCTCTATCATCCTGTATATTTGTTAACTATTTTGCAGTTATATGCTGCAGGCCATTCAGCACATAAACGCAAGGCAAGACAGAAGTGCATAGGATGACAGAAAATTTCAAGCTCTATCAGGATATATAATTCCTTTCTTAAGAATTTATTTTTATAGTAACTATATTTTGAAAAAAAAGAGAAAATTAACAATTTTTGGTACTTGTCATTTGACGGTGTATCCACTATACTCAAATTTTCTTACCAATAAATGAATATAAGGAAATACGTAAATATACAGAGTGATAGAGAATTTCAAGCTCTATCAGAATATATAATTACTTTTTTCAAAAGATAACTCTATAGTGATAGAAAATTTTAAAAACTAATTTTGATGACAATGACAAAAGCAAATCTGTGGGAATCTATACATGAGGGTACCTTCATTGCACTCAATGTTTTTGGTAATATATATAGGGTGTCCGAAAAGTCACTAGAGTTAGAAAAAATTGAATATTTCTGCTACGGCTCGAGCAAATGGGCTGATCTTTTTACCAATAATAGAGACATGTTCATACTTCAAATTCATACGGACGAGGTTAGCGAGAGCCTTTGTTAAATACCATCAATGACCTTAACAAAAAACATTTTACTTTTTCACACATAGGAAAAAAACAATATACAGAGTGGCGCAAAAGTCACTTTGCCGAAAAAAATTTGAATATCTTCATTACGGATCGAGCAAACGAGCTGATTCTTTTATCAATGATAGAAGCATGTTCAAGCTTTATATTCGTAAAGACATGCCTAGAAAGACTCTTTGTTAAGTCTATTGTTTTTTCCTATCTGTAAAAAAGTAAAATGTTTTTTATTAAGATCATTGGTGGCATTTAACAAAGGTTCTCGCTAACCTCGTCCGTATAGATTTGAAGTATGAACATGTCTCTATTATGGGTAAAAAGATCAACCCGTTTACTCGAACCATAGCGGAGATATTCAATTTTTTCTAACTCTAATGACTTTCCGGACACCCTATATATTCAAACGAAAATGCAAATATACAGGCTGATACCCATGGGAAAAATTTCGTTACTTTTAAATGCTGCGAAACGCATTAATGCTGACCGGTTTAACGCGTTTCACAGCTGCTAAATCGGTTAAAAACGCCGCGAGACGATATACTTTTCGTTTTCATCCGAGAATTGTGGCTTCAAAACGCGTTTTGAGTAAGTGGAAAAAAGGGTTGTATACGTTTCTCATCATGGGAAACGCTGCGAACGCGTTAAATCGGTCAGTATTAGCGCGTTTCGCAGTGAAAATATCCTAATTTTTTATCCCATGGGTATAAAATTTCACGGGCTTTCAGAATATGGCGTTACTTTTCATAAAATATGTTCATATGATAACAATATCCTCAAAATACAGAGGAACGTTTATTTTTTCCGGGGATATATATATATATATATTTTTTGTAAATCTAGCTTTTCCGATAATAACATTGTTCAAGTCTATTAACAACAGAATATTTTCACAAGTAACTCAACAGACGCTGTAATTTTTTTTAACTAGTAAAATATAATTCATTGAATAATTATCTTACTTGAATAATATTTAATAACATTGTAAAATTAATATTAATTTTCATTCGATTTCTCTTATATTCCATTCCAATTAAATACTAATTATATATGTTAATATTTTGTTCTGTATAACAATATTGTCATCTAATACATACTCATTTTTATTAATATTAAAATGTTTCCGAATTTGGTATAGTATTAATTCATATTTTCGTTTTAATAGTTGTATTGAATAATAAATCAAGTAATGGACTATTAATCATATGTTGATGATGAAAATAATAATAATGAAGAAATCTGACGATGTTGTTGTTTAATTATTAGTTAAATTAATTGTACACATGGATTTATCAACATTATTCATTAAACATAAAATTCTCCAAATCACTAAAAATATTATTATATATACATTTTTTAATCTTTTTCTTTATTGATTAATACATACTTGTACATGAATAACAAATTGTTGATCTTGATGTGTATAGAATAGATATGTCGATATAAACAAATTTTTATTCAAAAGAAGAATATATCTTGTTTCATTCTTTTCTGTTGTGGTAAATCCACCTGATAAAGAAAGATTTTCTCAAACTTCTGTAATGAATTATTTTGATCTAAAATTTTGTTGATATTTAGATACGTTCATCCAAAAAGAATATTATTGTAACAATTTAAGTATTTAAAAACTTCCATTGTTTTTTTTTTCGACAGTCTATGAAATTGAATCAACTTTTTTAACATTAAGTATGTTAACGAAAAAAGCAATTGTTTTTAACTAAAATATGTTCTACTTAAGTAATAGTTCGTCTGATGTAATATATTTTGTATTTTATCATAACAAATAAAATAATTATACATAAATGTTGTTATTGAGTATCATTAATAAAAATAAACAAAACAATTTCATTTTCATTCCAAATGAGATACAATCTAAAAAAATTCATAAATAAATCATTATATATGTCAATGTTAACAAGAGAGAAAGGAAAGAAAAAAGAAATATAAGTGAAGAGAGGAATTTTTTTTTTTTTGTCTTTCTCTTGTCCGTAAATCATTGTTCATGTTGTTATCATTGACGATCAATGGTCAACATGTACAATTAAATATGTATATCATTTTTGACGAGAGAAAAAAATGATTTTTCAAGGTATATATACGAATGATTTTCTATGTAAAAGCATTCAAATTTTTGAATCAAATAATAATCATTTTTCTTTTCTGTTTTAGATTGGCTTCAACCAAACAATATGAAACAATTCAACAACAAACCAGACAATAAAATAAAATGTAGGTATTAGTTTTACTTTTTTTTTCTTTTTTTTTTTCTTTTACGATCATAAGGATGGTGGGGTAAGGCCTCGTTTGATCTTTTTTTTATTTATTTTAGGGAATAAACAATAAAGAAAAAGATAACATTAGAGTAAGTCATCTCATTCTATTTCATTAAATAACATTGATTAAATTATTTTTTCTGTTCCTTTCAGCTATCAATATCATCGCGTCATCAACATCAGACACGATAAGTAATTCTTTTTTTTTTAGATGAGAATAGGTAGTGAGATTGAGGGGTTAGGGTGAGACTGAGAAAAGTGAGTGTTAGTGGGGAGGGGTGAGTTATGTTCGTTGAGGTTAGGTTCTTCGTATTTACAGGACTTCCGGGCAGTCCCTAAAAGCCCGGCCAGGAACTGTCTTGGTGTCCGTGGCACACGACTGGACTTATTCAGACTCGTTGACATATCTCTTGCGGGGAGAGTATGAATGATATGAGTCTGCCTTGTGCGTGCATGAGCGTTACGTTTGCCACGGCTCCACCAGGATGGTCGCGCGCGCGCGAATAGAATAAGCCATTCGTTTCATCAATTCAACGTGATTTATTTGAAAAGAAAGAAACGCAAAAAATAATAACCCATCGTTTTGAGTCTATTCAATTGAAAAACATTGAACACGATTATTCCCGAAATCGACGACATAGAGATTGCCATGTTGATCGAAGGACAAACCTCGGAGATAGTGAAACTGACTTGCTTCTTCTCCTTCACCATTTCCATCTACAATGACAGTGCCCTGTTTCGCTTCTTTAGGCCAACGCATCACTCGATTATTAAACGTGTCTGCCACATAGATGGTACCCAATGTATCGACGAACAGTTCTTTAGGATACGACAATTGTGTCAGAGCATTCCCTTCGCCTTGACCTCCAGCGACGACAATTCCTTCTTTTGCATCTTTATTCCATTTCATTACACGATGATTTCTGTTGTCTGACACGTAGACAATCTGTTGTTGATCGATAAAGATGTTGGTCGGATAGTCGAGTTGATTGAGACCAGCACCTTTGCCATTGCCACCAGCTAAAATAGTTCCATTCTTGTCTCCTATGTGATATTGTCTTACTTCATGTTTGACGTAGTCAGAGATATAGAGATATCTCTGATCATCCAAGGCCAATCCATAACAAACGATGTTGTCGATGAGGATTTCTCCTTGAGTTGTACCACTACGACGAGACCATCGTACAACTCGTCGATTGCCCCGGTCACAAATAATGAGACTATCCGTCTCTTTATCGATCAACACATCGGTTGGATGATCTAATTGATCCAATCGATTTCCATGGCCATTGCCACCAGCTACTACTTGTCCATTCTTATCACCCATCTTCCATTGAATGATACGATGATTGTAGCAGTCAGCGATGACTATCGTTTGATCATCGTCAACGAAGAGACCATGAGGCCAATAGAGTTGATTGGTGGCATTGCCGCTTCCATGGCCTCCAGCAACGGTCACTCCCTTCTGGACCCATCGGGCATCGGCTGGAATATTGAGAATTACTACAATGAACGAAGAAAAAAAAGAAATCGTCGTTATCGAAGGGATCCCGTCTCTCGTGGGAGCAAGCGCTACAAAATACGACATTCGTCTTTGAAAATGCTCGTTTCGCAGATAAAAATTCAGAAGTCTTTTCCTAGTTTCTTATGAGAAAAAAAGGATTTGGTAACGATTCTTACATCTATGTTACTTCTAGTTTTTGCCAAGATCTTTTTGATCATAAAAATAACACCTTGAGATTGTTGTAAGAAGGTTCTCCAAGAAAGAGTAATACTAATTCTATGTAAATTTTTGATAGAAAAACATAAGGATCTGAGAATTTTTTTAGGATTGCAAGAATTCAGAATCTTTTTGGCAGAATGATCATTTATATGAACATCAGAGAAGATTCTATCTGTATCTTGTGAGAAGAAAATCGAATCGTTAAACAACAAAATATCAAACCTAATCCCTATGTTTTTTAGGAAACCTTAAGGATACATGATTTTCTGTATGATGAATGTAGATCCGCCGAAGAATCTCCTAAGTATTTGCATAGAGAATGCCGATGAAATTTTATAAGGCTTTTGGTAAGTTATGTCAAGTTGTTCGAAGGACAACCGTGATGTACTCTGAGTAAGATCATGAGAAGGCTTAGATACAGGTGAAACTGAACAAAGTTGAGAGGATTCCACGCGAATCTATATAATCTGAGAGGGTTTATACTTTTGCAAATGCTGAAAAGATGAATGCCAATCCGAACGGAGCTCTCCAGTGACAAACATTGGGATCTATGGATTTTATGGGCTTTGAAAAGAAAGTGTTCTAAAATGCTATTTTTAACTTTTGATGAACACCATCTTCAAACCATTGTATAAGGGTCCTAGAACAGAATCTTGGTGACTAAATAAGATACTTTGCGAAAACCTCAAAATCTAAAAATAATGAGTATCTTCTATGAGGATCATGCTTTAATCCTTACGTAGTACTTGTTCTGAGAAGTCTTCTGTAAGCTCGCATGTTATGGATATGTTTAGGAGGATCTGAAGAGTAAGTATTTTGGAATGATTAATATCAGAGATGGGCAATTTCAACTCCAAAGTTGATGCTTTTTCTCATCAGAGTGAAAATGGAGTAGGAACAGGACAGAATGGAGGTGCCTATCTTTGAAGTTTATGAGAAAGTTTATAAAGCAATAAATTAATATGCTACTAATTTATATCAATCGTAGATTTAATTATGTTCAAAAACTTATGTGTATTTAAGAGTGTTTTGGCAGAAGTTCAGTTTTGTAAAAATCCGACTCGAATTGAAGTTGGAGTAGGTTTTTAGAAAATAGGACTGGAGTTATATGGAGTTGGAGGAAGACAGAGTGTAGTTGCTCATCTCTGTTTAGTACACAAATGTCGATCCTAATCAGTACCCAGGATAACTTCTCTGGAATATTAGGAATTACTATAATGAACGAAACAGAAAAGAGATCATCATTATCGAAGAGATTTTTGTCTCTCATACACGAGAAAGTACTATAAATGAGACAGTGTTTCTGTAACGTAGTGTTTAAAAAAAAGCACATCGTAAGGAAATGCTTTCGATGTCGAGGAAGAGAAAACTGCTTAACATGAAATTCTAAGGAGATTTCTATGTAGTAGTTTAGTGTTAGAATTTGAAAAGGAAATCTTACGATTCTTCCAGCGATATTCAGCTCATTTTCGTATGATATAGAATGTTCGAAAGAAGAAAACAAATGATGAAATAAAATATCAAGATGCTTAAAGTAGTGTGCACTTTAAGTTTTTCATGATAGAGGTTGAAAAATGATCTCTATAATACATTAATTAGGATTTGTGTCTAAGCTGCTCTTTTAATTGTATAACTTTTTTTTTATAAAAGTAAATCCTTTTTTCAATTAAGCATAAATTATCATTCATCAGTCATGTTTGATACTTATGATACAATATCATCTTAATACATTAAGTACTTTCATTAGACTAAAAAGACTTTCATTAAAATGATGAAAACTCGTTATAGTTTTATCAAAAAACATTTTTTTGATTTTTTCCAAATTCTAAATTGTTTTTAGATCTGTTTTCTTAGTAACGGAAAGAAATTATTATCATACTTAAACATATTTGTTAAAGCAAAATTGAAAATAAGAACAATAATATCGAATTGATGCAATATAACTTACAAATTCTTTCGTAGAATTTCTTAACCTACATGATATAAATATATTTAGTCTGTTTTTCGATGATCTTCTGAATGACATTCGAATCTACTATTATCATAATAATATAATAGTAAATAATTTCTAATATCGAAAAAAACAAAATATCATTTTTTTTTCTCGCTAGAAATTCTAGAAGTTATGAAAATACTCTAAGAGCAGATATTTATTTATTCCAGTTTATTAATCTGAAGCAAAAAGAAATCTCAAAAATGACCTCAAGTAAAAAAAATGCGGAAACTTCGGATTTAAATCCGAGAGTTATGTGTACTTCAAAAAGTGAATGAGACAGATGAGTTGTTCTAGAACGTGTGGACATCAAAATTATACTGGGGAACCTACCCTCTAAACTGTTGATTTCTATTGAGTATTGCCAAACCAATAGGACTTGGGACCGAATACAGCTCAAATTTGAACTCTTCGCCTTGATTTACCCTAAGAAAGTCGTTTTTCCTATAACTTGATTTCTATTGGTCACTGCTCAACCAATAGTATTTCGATGGAAGTGGAATACAGATTCGAGTTCTCCATCTCAGAAAACCTCGAAGTATCATCACTGTGATCGGAAGATAGAGCTCTATTTGTGGATCAATTAGATCGTGGACAAAAATCTAACCTAGTTCTCTTTAATTATCTTTGTGATAGATGAGCCAACCTTCTTGTTTCTTTATGTTTTATATACCATTTTGTAGCTCGTGAAATTCTCTATCGAATGGTATATAATAGTTGGGGTTTTAGTTGACTATGATAGGAAAAGTCTTTTACGAAAGTGGGGATGGGTCGATCTTTCCATAGGGAAGGTGCAGGGAAAAATGAGTATTTTTGCAATAACTCAGGAACGGCTCGGCCAATCCTTCTCATCTTCGAACTCGACCGAGATATTGTTAAGACTGAACTGTGTAGAAAATTTCATCGCGGTCGGACTCCCCTTTCGAAAGTTATCGGATAAACGGACGGACGGCCGGACACACTGACCGATTTTAGTAGTGTACTCACTTTTTGAGTACACAAAAAAGAGATGATCTTAGATTTTTTAAAATGTTTATAAGATACGCAATCTACTCAGTATAGACAGAATTCGTCCAATGAAATTTAAGATGATACAGAGTGCTTTTGTTTCTAATAACTAGTGAAATACTTAACATACTTCTTGGTATAGTGGGCTGATATTTTTATCCATGATTATCAAAACTTGCTTTAGTGTATTTACAGCTGACTTTAAGAAAAAAATCTAAACTTTCAAGAGTCATGAAAAATGAATATTGCAGTTTTATCAACAAATTCTTGCTCTTTATAACTAAAACTCTGAGAGTATATTGAGGGACAAGACTGTTATCTGTGGTATAAGTATGAACGAAACGACACTAGTGTGAATTAATCGAAAAAGTTATATACCGATCAGTTGTAAATACTTCAAAACAATTGTTGACAATATTTCTTTTATGAATATGACCTATGAATACTATTTTACTAACAAGCCTTTCATAAAAATATTGATATTATGAATTGATGAAATTCTAAACACACTCTACACATTGCAGAAGATAAGGTAAAAATTAAACAAAGATTTCGAATGAAGTAGATTTGAGATTTAGCTTCTTTTTTTATATTAATATTTTACTTTCTATTTTTTTGATTTTGGAATGGGTTGTTGGGGGAGGGGGGGGGGGTATATGTGTGTGGAACAGGTCTCAGACTATGATATAGTTTAAGAGTTTGCGAGGACTTTACAACGTTATAGTTGTGAGTGTAGGATATGAACATCATCTTTTAATTTACATACATTAATGGCGACATTTACACCCTAACTTGAAATTATTTTCTCACTAGTGAGAACCCATGCGATGTTTAACTTTTCATTCGATAACAGACATACAGATACACGATATTATGTATATAGATCGAAGCCTTACGTCCTTATAGCCTTATGTCCCTAGTACCACTTGTAGCCTTATCCTTTATTGTCTTACACCCTTCAAAGCGTATGGATATCCTATAGGATGACCCTCGAGGATCCATGGGTGCTCTCATATAATAGCCCGTGAGAATCTATGGATATTTCCATAGGATAGTCTATGAGGACCTATGGTACCTCCATATAATAGCCTTTGGTACCTTCCTCTGATAGCCTTATTTGACCATTAACCCTTAATCCGGCACAGACACACACTGAACATTATATATATATAGATAACGTAAAAGAAATGAAAGCAATCAAAGATTGGACATTTTCTCTCTTGCATTGAAGATAGACAGAACTACACTATTCATACTGTAGAGTAGTACTTCTAAGAAGGAAATTGTCATTACAAAGTCATGCTGAGAAATCAATCAAAGATTCAAATCCTTCAATCCCGACGACATTTAATCAGATTGACCAATTTTATAGTTACAATAACTAATCTGCCCACTAAAATAGAAACTAAAGATAGTTGATATGTCAAAAAAAATTATCCGACTTACATCCATGAAATTGTTAATTATAGGAAAAAACTATTAGCTGAAGTAATTATTTATAATCACATTCCAACAAAGTAAATATTCATGAACGAATTTGAACATAGCAGTAAAATCAAAAGAGAAGAAAAAATTCACATTTACATTTAACTTCATTGTTAGA